GAATGCTACTCATAAAACATCCCTATCTTACACTTGTCCTGCTTCTGCTTGAAATTCTTTAATAAAAGGGCTTCCACAATTTCCCTGGATAGTCTGTTCCACTGCCATACTGCTCTAATGGTAAGGGAGATTTTCTTCAGCTCTCAAGATCATGAAGACCACAATCAAGTCATTCTTTAACCTTCTCTGCAATAAATTAAACAGACTGAGTTTCATCACATTCTCACTAGAAGACATATTAACTGAACCTTAAATCTTCCATGTCATTCTTTTCTGAATCCCATTCTTTTTAAAGTGTGGGCACCAAAACGGGGCTCAGTATTCCAGTAATGCCATATTCCTATTCCTAATTTATGTTCTCTTGGTTATGTAGCTCAGGATCATGTTTTTCCTCATTGCTAGAGTATCACACTAGAATTTGATACTCAGTTGGTTTTCTACTGCTAAATCTTTTTTAGAGTTGCTTAATTATAGGATTTACTCTCCTGTTTCGTATGTGTGTGATATATATCCCCTGCCGCTTGAAGCAGAACCCTGAATTTGGGTGTGTTAAAATCACATTCAAATGAGTTTACCTACCAGTTGATCCAGGTCAGGCTATAGAATTCAAGCAGAATGCCACAATTACCTTTATCGCCAAAGCCAAGAAGTATGTTTGACAACATTTATTTCCATAAGACTAACTTTGCATTTATTATGTAACTGCTCTTTATCATGTTGATCCCATCCCTTATCAACCTTCCATAATATTAAGATGATTGATGCCAGGCTAGTTTACTTCCAGTTGCTTAGGATGACATGTTATTATTCCTTGACATCTAAGTGTCATAGTGTGGTTGTGTACATGGACATCCAGGAAAATGAGGGACTAAGTGTGTCACAAATAATAGATCTAAAGTTGATTCCAAACAACCTAAAAGTAGCGTAAGAATTTGGGGGAGGAGGGCTGGGAAAAATAACATTCCCATGTACAACTAGTAAGCTAGGATAGTAGAGAATCTTATCATTGACAAGGATGTAGATTGGATGAACCAACCAAATCTAACACCGAAGACTGCAGTAAGTTTATGGTTCCAAAACAAAGTTTATTCTTATGGGAAGTGGAACACCTGAGTAACAATAATAATTCTTAGGGAGCCTCTATTAAATAAAATCTGTAGTTTGACCTCAGAAGACCAAGGTCTCTATGTGGGAACTACAGAAAGAAAATCTTGGCCAGGAATTTGTTTTTATTTCTTAAATGTCTCTCTGGAGGTCCCTATAGATTGCTCCATCTAGCGACTGCTGTGTTCTATCTCAACTCTCTCCTGTCATGTCTTGTTTAATTTGGATGTTATTAGTCAGGAGGTGTTACTGCCACAGTAAGACACTGCCAATCTCTCTAGGTTTTTTTCCTACGTCACAATCAGCCAGGTCTGACAGCTTACGTAGGTTCCTAACGAAGTTACAGGACCTCCATGTAACTCAGGAAGTGCACAGTCCCACCAGGGGAAATGCCTTGTTGGACCTGGTCTTGGCCATGGGAGACGCCCTGGTGAGTGGACTGCAGGTTCTTGACCACCTGGCTGGTAGTGATCATCGCCTACTGGAATTTACCATCCAGCTCAGGGTGTCAAAGGCCTGCAGCAAGGCAGCAGCCCTAGACTTCAGGAGGATGGATTTCAAAGAGGTAAGTAGACTAGTCAGGGAGGCACTGAGGTCCCGGAGGGGAGGGGAGTTGGGAATCCAGGAAGAGCAGTCGTTCCTTAAGGAGACGATCCTCCAAGCTCAAAGGGTGACAATCCAAACACGGATCGAAGGGAGAAAGAGTGCCCAAAAGCCCCCAGGGCTCACCAAAAGCATCTAGGAATGTCTCAAAGCCAAAAAGGAGGTGTACACCCAATGGAAGGGAGGGGCCATCACCAAGGAGGACTATACTTCAGTTGCTCAGGACTGACAGGGGGCTGTCAGGAAGGCTAAGGCAGAGATGGAACTGGGACTATCGACCTGGATCAAGGATAACAAGAAGTCATTTTTTAAATACATAGGGAATAAAAAGAAGGTACTGGGTAATGTAGGGCCTCTGCAGGACACGCTAGGAAATCTAGTGCTCACACCAGATGACAAAGGTAACTTATTTAACAATTTTTTTGCCTCCATCTTTTTGATCAGGGAACGGGGTCATCCCCTACACTGGGATCACTGATGGACCCAGGGGAGGCACTGCCAGGCCCAGGGTCAGTGAGGACCTAGTCAGGGAACTTCTGGTGGGACTAGACATGTTCAAATCAGCAGGTCCTGATGATCTCCAACCCAGAGTGCTGAGGGAATTAGCAGTGGTCATTCTAGGACCCCTGGCACAGCTTTACGAGCACTCATGGTGCTCTGGCCAGGTGCCAGAGGACTGGAAAAGGGCCAATGTGGTCCCCATTTTCAAAAAAGGGAGAAAGGGGGACCCAAGAAATTATAGGCCTGTTAGTCTTACCTCAGTCCTGGGGAAGCTCTTTGAGAAAATTATCCAGGAGCACATCTGTGATGGACCAGCAGGGGATCATGCTTAGGGGCAACCAACATGGGTTCATTCAAGACAGGTCCTGTCAGACCAACCTGGTGGCCTTCTATGATCAGGTCACAAAATCCTTGGCTGCAGGTGTCGCAGTGGATGTAGTCTTTCTGGACTTCAGGAAGGCCTTTGGCACTGTCTCTCACCCCATTCTCATTAAGAAATTAGGCGACTGTGGTGTCAATGGCTAATAGTCAGATGGGCTGCAAATTGGCTGGAGGGTCACACCCAGAGGGTGGTGGTGGATGGGTCATTTTCGACCTGGAGGGATGTGGGCAGTGTGGTCCCCCAGGGCTTGGTCCTCAGGCCTGCACTGTTCATAATCTTGATCAGCGACTTGGATGAGGGGGTAAAAAGCACCTTGTTTAAATTCGTGTACAGGGGTGGGATTATGAGAACAGGATGGGTTTTCAATACTGACAAGTGCAAGGTGCAGCACCTAGGGAGAAAGATCCAGCAGCATACCTAGAGGCTGGGGAACTCCCTTTTAGTCAGCACAGAGGCAGAAAAGGATTTTGGTGTCATTATTGATTCCAAAATGAACATGGGCCACCAATATTGGGACGTGGTCAGGAAGGCCAACCGCACCTTGTCATGTATGCACAGATGCATCATGAGCAGGTCCAAGGAGGTGATCTTCCCCCTCTGTGCGACACTGGTTATGCTGCTGTTGGAGTACTGCATCCATTTCTGGGTGCCGCACTTCAGGAGGATGTGGACAACATCGAGAGGTTCCAGAGGAGGGCCACTCGCATGATCAGGGGTCAGCAGGGCAGGCCCTATGAGGAGAGGCTGAACCTCTCAGCCTCCACAGGAGAAGGTTGAGAGGGGATTTGGTGCCCATCTACAAACTGGCCAAGGGGAACCAGCAGGCTATGGGAGAGACCCTGTTCTGCTGAGCACTACCGGGAGTAACAAGGGATAACAGCCATAAGTTGACGGAGAGTAGGTTCAGGCTAGACATCAAGAAGCACTACTTCACAGTCAGGGTGGCTAAGATCTGGAACCAACTTCCAAGGGAAGTGGTGCTCACTCCTACCATGGGGGTCTTCAAAAGGAGGCTAGATAATCACCTAGCCGGGGTCGTTTGACCCCAGTACTCTTTCCTGCCCAGGGTAGGGGGTTGGACTTGATGATCTGCTCAGGTCCCTTCTAACCCTACCAACTATGAAACTACGAATCTCTCCGCTGGCTCTCTCTTGACCGACACCCAAGATCTTACATTATCAACTGAGTCCAAGTCACATATGGGTTGAACAAATCTCTTTATTATTTTTATATCCACAACTGTTTTATGGGGAGATAGATTGTGGCTATTTCAAACTGGTTTGGTTTGTTTTGTAAACTTTTTCCAAAGAACCTTATTTTACATAATATAAAACCACGTAAATATAAATACTGATATATTTTTCAATTCATTTATAAGTATGTACTTTTTTAACTGACAAGAAATTTTACATTCAGGTTCTTTAATTCTTCTTCTCTGAGGTCTTGTTTCCCTCATTTCTTCAGGATGCTCTCTCCTTTCTTGCCTGTATATGATGATATTTGGACCCGTAGGTGATTATGAAGGGAAGCAGAACGCCACCCTTGGCCCCCCAGTTTTGCCCTTTTTAATGATTAGCACAACAGTAGATATTTTCTAATTCCCCTTGTTCCAGGATTTGTAAAAAATATGCATTACTGGTACAAAGTGCTCCTTAGTCAATTGTTTTAATAGTCTGAAAATGAATTATCCAATCCTGGAGATATATAAAAGATTAACTTCACTATTTACTGTTTAACATGTTCTCTAGGACATAATGATCCAGCAAAAAATAGCTCATTATGAGATACAAATACATTTTCCTTCTTTTTGGAAATATAGAACATTAATATTTCTTTGAGTCAGCATTTTAGGGGCTTCAAAAAGGCAGCATCAGAAGGATTTCTATGAAAACGCTGCCTAGGATAACTGGCCATATGTCTTGCACTGACAATGATTCACCGAGCCCGCTGCTGGTGAAGTGTGGGTCTTCCTCATATGGAAATTTTTATGCTTGCAAATGCTACAAGGGCAGGCACAGAGATTCATGTGCTGCTGCTTAATATAAAGAGAAGTATATGACTCATTTAATGAGGTTATACATTGGGAAAAGAGAGACCAGAAATAGGGTATAAAAAAGTACTGGCCAAACTGTACGACAAAAGAGAGAAAAGAGTTGCACGGAAGACCTGAAGATGCACAAACGTTAGACATGGAGCCCTAAACCCGTGGCACTGCACAGATCTGATGGAGCATTGGGGGTGCAGTAAGGCCAATGGCTGGGGTGAGATCCAGCTCTGATCTGGAAACACCAGGGGCCGGGTGAAACGTGAACCTCTGGAGGAGGCTTGTGAAGAAGAGGAAGAGCTCCATTTTGGCAAGAGTCTCGCCTGCACACATCCTCCGACCTGGAAGCAAATGCACAACAAATATAAGTGTTTTGAAAGCATGCGCTGCTTTAACTGTAATGAATGCCACAGACCAGTCTCTATTCCCAGTTAACAGTACTGTTAATCTAGAACACAGACATCTCATTATGCCTTGTTTCCAGGCGTATAACAGAAAGGAAGATATCTCCTAAAAACATTTACTAAAAGTGAATGAACGAGTAAACCTTAATAGAACCATTTAAATGACCACAAACATGTAATATTTTTCATAGATTTCATAGATTTCATAGACATCAGGGCTGGAAGGGACCTCGGAAGATCATTGAGTCCAGCCCCCTGCCCAAAGGGCAGGAAGTCAGCTGGGGTCATAGGATCCCAGCAAGATAAGCATCCAGTTTCATCTTGAAGGTGTTCAATGTAGGCGCTTGAACCACCTCCGGTGGCAGGCTGTTCCAG